ATCAGTACCGCCGATCAGTGCTGCCTATCCGTGCCACCTCCATCAGTGCCCATCAATGCTGCCTACCAGTGTAGCCTTATCAATGCACATCAGTGATGGAGAAAAATTACCTGTTTGCAAAATTTTATAATAGAAACAAAGAAATACTTTTTTTTTCTCTTCACATTTTTTTCTTTTTTTTTTTTTGTTTATAATGCAAAAAATAAAACACACAGCAGCGATTTAATACCACCAAAAGAAAGTGCTCTTTGTGTGAAAAAAATGATAAAAATTTAATTTGGGTACAATGTTGCATGACCGTGCAATTGTCATTCAAAGTGCGACAGCGCTGAAAGCTGAAAATTGGCCTGGGCGGTAGGGGGTAGAAGTGCCCAGTAGGCAAGTGGTTAATTGTAAAAAATGAAAGTTACACCCAAGCACATAACATCCCCCCCCCAAAAAAAAATTGAGCTGCCCCCCCCCACACATATATGCATGTACAAACGTAAAAGCACACGCTGGGGTGCCTATGCATGAACAGGTAAATTTTCTCCATCACTGATGTGCGTTGGTGAGGCTGCACTGATAGGCAGCACTGATGGGTGGCACATATGGGCGGCACTACAGGGCACAGGTGGGTGGCACTGTTGAGCAGCACTGCTGGGCACTGATCATCAGGGCACTGATAAGTGCCGATCCCTTCGCTGACAATTGCCGGTTCTCAGCAGTACTTTCCTCATGCTGTGACAGCATGAGGAAAGTGCAGCCAAATACCGTAAACTGTATTTACCCAGTGATCTGCTGTCTTATTGGACACAGCTGATCACGTGGTAAAAGGCCGCCGTGATTAGCCGTCTACCGTATCACGTGATGAGATGTGTCCACAGGACACAGCGATCGCCGGGTGCGCACCGCTGGGGGCATTTTCTGGAATGACGTCCATGGACATTATCCCAGAACTAGACAACCGCTCTGTAGCCGTTCCTCAGCTATAGCGCGGTTGGGAACTGGTTGAAAAAAACTACTTTTTTTCATCACATAGGGGAGAGGCTGGCACTGTGTGGAATGCTTCTACCTGAAAGGTGATCCCTGCTGCTTGCCCGCAGCAGGGCTGAAAGTAAAAAAACTACCTGCCCGGCTGGAGCTACATGTCCCAGGCGTCGACGATGTGAATTCAACATCCCTGTACTATATAACATAGACACTTTGAAAGTGTAGCTGAAAACTGGCGTGGGCAGGAAGGGGGTGGAAGTGCCCAGTAGGCAAGTGGTTAATTGTAAAAAATGAAAGTTACACCCAAGCACATAACATCCCCCCCAAAAAAAATTGAGTCCCCCCCCCCCCCCCCCCCCCCCCCACACACACATATACGCACTTACAAACGTAAAAGCACACCTTGGGGCGCCTACGCATGAAAACGTCAATTGCGATACACATGTTACATATCGCCACGCACGCCAGAATGAGAGCAATAATTCTAGCACCAGATCTCATCCGTAACACTATACTAATGACCTATAAGGAGCTTTAAAAGTGTCACCTATAGAAAATATAGGGTGCTGAAGTTCGTCGCCATTTCACGAGCGCACACAAATTTAAGGTTTGACAAGTTAGATATCTATTTACTCTGTGCAGCCTCATCTTTTATATTTTACAGAAAAATAGGGTCATTTATTGCTTTTTTTTTCAGCCCTAAAATCAACTAACTTGTATTTATTACTGAAATTTTGCAGTAATATCACTCGACATAAAAAAATTGGAACTACCATTATTTTATTCTCTAGGGTCTCTGATTTTAGAAAATATATAATGTTTGAGGGTTTTGTGTCATCTTCAGGCCTAAAGTGTTTTTTTTTTTTTTAATCTTGTGCAAAAAAATGCAAAAACGGCTCTGGCAGCGAAAGGGTTTAAGGATAAGCCCAACACTCCCCTTTCCTGACAAGCACCCAATCAGTGCTCACTACACTGCATGGTGTCTCTCTGCTCCCTGCTAGTCCACAAGTGCGGTGCTGGGGAGAGGCAGGGAGGGGAGGAGGAGATAAACAGCACAATATTAAACATTTAAGTCATCATAAAACCCCTTTTTGTTTTTTAAAACATTACTAATATCACCTCCATTTTGGTTAAAATTGTGTTTTTTTTTTTTTTTATCTGGACAAGTAGATTGTCATGAGGGATAGTCTGATAGTAGTATAAACCAGGGGGCAGATAGGTCACTCGTGATACTTCCCTTCATCACGTTATGTGCAGGGTTATAGGTGGTATTGTGGTCTGTAGATGTGGTACCATTATTTGTGATCTCTCTGAACTTTATACTTGTTATAATAAAGTACTGCATATTTTTAAAAAACTCAATATATATCCTTTATAAACCTTCATAACTAAACATGAGGTAGCAAGTCCATTTGTGTATATTTATGTTATTGCTGCAGACTCAGTCTATTGAAGTAGTGATCGGCATAAAATTATTATTATTACAGGTACTTATATAGCGCCGTCAATTTACGTAGCGCTTTACAGATATATAGTACATTCACATCAGTCCTTAACCCTCAAGGGGTACAATCTGAGGTCCCTAACTCACATTCATATATATACATACTAGGGTCAATTTAGACAGGAGCCAATTAACCTACCAGCATGTCTTTGGAGTGTGGGAGGAAACTGGAGTACCCGGAGGAAACCCGCACAGGGAGAACATGCAAACTCCAGGCAGGTGGCACCATCGCTCGGCTTCGAACTAACAACCCTAGTACTGCCAGGCAGAAGTGCTAACCCTTTATAACATAACTCACATCAGCATCACAATTACACCGCATAGTCCTGGAGTGAAGTCAGACTTCAAACATTGAGCAGGGCACCTGACATTTGTAAATAGGCATGTTTGTTTACCCAGCTTCTTTCTGCCTCAAGGTGCATTTAACTGCAGGTGAATAGGAAGCTTGAGTATACAGAATGCTTGCATAGGTGCCATACCAACATTCAGATGTGGGGAAAGTGTGTATGTATTTCAGGTATGTGTGGCATCAGGGGCAGAAATGTCTAGGTAAATACAAGAGTCTATTGTCCAGGTGTCCATAGGTATCGCTCCTATGTAGATTATTATGTAGTATACAAGTTATTACTGTATCTGGCTGGGGAAAGAGATATTGTGTGCATATGCAAGAGTACACCATCTGCTTGTCATTTTGATATCGTTCTAAGGCAGTTTATTTACTTTCATCTATGCATTGCTATAACAGAGTTGTAATTAAATCAATATATTCCATATATTCTGTCTGATACTAACTGGCTTGCTAGGAAGACAACAGAAACATCCCAAGACTCTAGTAAAAAAGATGGTCTACAGCTAATCACATTGTCCAGGTAGCCAGGTACTATGTGATTGCTGTGGGCTAATCACAAGTCACAACCGTAAGCAAGCTGTTCACTCATGAAACCCATTTGTGACAGTTTGTTTAGATTGTTATCATGTGATCATTATGAATGCCCCTAGCAATCACATGATAGCGAGCACTGTGATCTGCTGTGTGGACACAGTGGTCACAGGAGTGCGCTGCTGCATGCCCGGGGGCACACTAGGGCCCATATGCAACTGCCATCGTACAGGTACGTGACTGTGCCTGTACATATCACCCGCCCACAGCAAAATTATTGTGGGCAGATCGCCAAGAGGTTAAAAAATTGGAACTTCACTCATGTCTCTGCACAGCAGCGTTGTATATTGCAGGGCGTTGACATGTGGTGCCATCCAGTGTGCTGTGGAAAAATATACACACACTGCACATCACAACAGCATTGTGGCGTAAACGGGACACGTACGTAGAAAACATTTCAGTGTTCCTTGCACTGACTGGCATCTTTATCCAGGCTTATTTTCCCCCTGGTAAGTTGGACATAATTCTTATTTTTCAGCTTCCTTTAAACAGACCAAGCTTCCCAGCAAACATTGTTAGAGTGTTGAAACAAACCATTCTTACAATGATCAGCTTTTATTCGTTTATGTAAAACCTTTATTCCAAAAGGAAAAAAGTGTTTGCTGTAACTGCTTAAAGTGTTAGCTGGAGTTAGGCTTTAATTTGTTAGTCAAGCCAATATAAATTTGCAAGTGCATCTAATACTACACTGTCCACAGGTTGACAATGCTTCTGACCACAGGTGGTTCCATTGCACCTTCATGAAGGGAGCCACCTTAAGGCAAGAATTGCATTATTGACTGAATCACCAGTTGAAAATAAAGGAAAAATACCTAAAAAAAAAAAAAAAAAAAAACATGCAGTCACCACATCTAAACATTGGTAAGCTGCAGTATGTTCATTTGTGTTTGTTTTGGTTTTAGATATGTTTTAAATATCATTCTCCATGAATATGGACTGGAATTGTTAGATTCTTCCTGTAAGACTACTAATCACTTCCTTCCAAATAAAAAAAAAAAAAAGGTAGCAGCCTTTCACCCTCTACTTCTAGGGTTAGAATCTCAGAAAGTTATTGTTCAAGTACCTGACTTAGGCTGGCCATACATTATACAATTTTCTTTGGAAAATTGCTTTAGACTTGCCAAAAACCATATAATAGGAGGTCAAACCTGAACAACACTTTCAATTGTATCCAATTAGGCAGGCCCTTGTACTACATAGTTTAAGATAAATCTAAAGGAAATTGGGCAGAAATTGGACAGAAAATTGTATAGTGTATGGCCAGCCCTAAAGCAAGGTCAGAGATTTTATTCCCATATATTGCATACAAAGATACAGAAAGGAGATCTAATAAGTGAAGTTTAAGCTTTGCCTTTTGGTTCTTTTTTAATTACTAGTTTAATTAGAGGCCATCAGATAGCTGTCTCTTATTCATTTGGATGTGAACCTTGTGTTTCCTGTTTTAGAGCCACTTGTGTGCACTCCTTGAAGATGTTGGCAAATTACGTTTCTTTGTAACTTTTTTAGCCACTCAAGTGGAAAAATCTTGAGGTGTTTCAAGCAATTTTAAAGTTTTATTTTCCATACTTCCAGATAATTTGCATTATGACGGCAAGATCAGAACCCTCTACAGATAAAAAACCTGTGAATTCTGCCTTGGAAAGATGTTTGGAAGTTCTTAAAGCAGAAAATAGTGACAGTGGGCAGTTTGCTGCACTTCTGTTGGTAAGACCTAATAAAGATTTGTTTTAGACGTATATGACTGTCAGTCGTTCAATTGATGGGTTATTGTCCAATGCCAGGAGGCCCTTGTATGATTGATTTTCCTTCATTTTGTATAATATACATGAAATGTGATAACTCCAATGCAAAGAGTTATAAAAGATTCTTCAAAGAATATGTAAACCCAGCATTTCATATTTTTTATATGTGCCTACTATACCACATACTTGTATGAAAAAGTATCCTGTTCTCTTTGTATTGCTTCCTTTTGTGTGAAATCCCTGGTGTTCCTGCTAGTCCCTGTGCTTTCCTATTAAAAACTGACCACACGGGCGTGCTTTTGTTGCTTCTGACTTAAACTGTTTCTAAATTAATAAAAATATTGAAAAAAAAACAAAACAAAAACTGACCACATTAAGCAGGAGAACACAGCATAGTCAGTTTTCTATCCTGTCTGTCCTCCAGTGATTAGACTTGTCCTGACATGATTATCCCCTGTACAGCTTTCACTGGGAAGTTCAGTGTATGCTGTTTCAACTCTCCCTGCTCTTATGCAGCTGAGAACAGAGGGAATATGATGAGTTATAAAAAAAAAAAAAAGGGAAAAAGGGTATTTATAATGGTTTTTTTTTTTTTTTTTTTTTTTTTTTTTTTTTTGTGTTTTTTTTATATCTGTACACAACATAAATAAATGTTTTGCCTTTCGTTTCTATTTAAAACTTAATGGGTTGTTTTACAATCACTTTATTTTTATCTTTTTATATTCTTTATAGGTTTGTTTTACTGCTTTGTATCTCAATAGTAATGGGAATGGTTTTTATTTATTTTTAGGTGACAAAGTGTGCCAAAGCTTCAGATTTGAATGATGGAACTAGGCGCAGAATCTTTGATGCAGTTGGTTTCTCCTTCCCAAACCGGCTTCTTTTCTCAAAATCTTCACCCGATGGGTGTCCTGAGTACATGCTTCGAAGTCTTGGCTTGACCCTGTTGGCTTGTTTTTGCAGTGACCTCTCTCTGGCCAATCATCCTCAGGTTCTTAATAAAATTCCAATTCTCAATGAAACTGTAAGTGCATCGAGCCAACAAGAATCCAAAAATGATTCTTCCATGGCAGAGGATGCCTATCAGTGCCTCATGGGCATTATGGCTGCTCCTGGAGGGATTAAACACTTGGTATCTGGAGGCACCATATCTTCTTTATGTCAAGCTTATTTGAATCACAGTCAAGGTTGGGAAAATGCTCTTAACGTTTTAACCACTTTGCTCACCTCTATGCCAGAAAAATCCTGGAAGAAAAGTCGAAAAGAACTTCAACTCCTATTGGTTAAGCTAAGTGAAGAATTTAATAAAGAAGAGGACATTCGTAAGTTCCACCTAGCAGAACTTCTTCCTGTGTTCCTACCTCCTTCACCCATTTTGACTGAGACTTCTTGGGGTAAAGACTGCTTAGAACATCTTTGTATGGGTTTATTTAAAGTCCTTAGAAGTAAGCTTATTGTTTCCCAGAGAGACCCGGCATTAAAGCTTGGAGCTTTACTTTCTCAAGTTTATGCTTCCTCTTGGATTTTCATTGAAGGAAAAGAGAAGGGAAGATTTTTCTGTTTACTGGTAAACTTGGCTTGTGTTGAGATTAGGATGGCACTGGAGGATCCTAATCCACTCAGTTCTAGGCAAGCTGTTGCTTCAGCTTGTTATTCCTTGATTGAGGTGGGCATTCAGGAGTGTGCAAAAGAAGAGGCACATCCCATGCTAACAGAGGACCAGAAGTTGCAGCTCCTTCAAGTTATACAAGAGGCTTGTGGAGCAGTGATGTACTACTTGCAGCAGGTATTTCGTGGTGTTATCAACTTTTGCATAGTCTTTAAAGAAGAACTCCAGCTTTCCTGTCACTCTAAATACTTTGAATCAGTTTGGTAAAACAAATTCTTACTATGCCAGAACAGTATGGTGCTGGGGCCTCTGTAATACACTGTATTGCATTTTCTACATATAGTAAGTGCTGTTTTCTTCCTGGAGAGGTGCTAGCATCTTCCCCTGCTATTTTGAAATGGAGAGTTACTTGCATGGAACCTCAGCCCATCAGGAACAGACTTGTATTTTTTTTTTTAAGATCATAACATCACTCACCCGCCTCTCCACCTTGGCCAGACTAAGATTGTATAAGATGGTTTGTGTAATGGTCATGACTGCTTTACAAATCATCTCTTGTAGTAGGAGAGCAGCACTTTTTCACATACTTGTTATAGGCTAGGTTTTCATCAATTTTTTTAAGCTTAGTTGCACTACTAAATGTGATTGATTAGTGATAAATCACTAAACAGATAAAACACATTATTTGGTGTAAGAAACACAAGTAGCATATAGTACAGCAGTTCTCAACCTGTGGGTCGTGACCCTTTCACAGGGGTTGCCTAAGACCATCAGAAAACACATATTTCCGGTGGTCTTAGGAACTGAGACACTGCTCCTCTATCCGTCTCCAGGTGGGTCCGCCCACATGCAGATACGCCCACATTTCCCTGGACTGCGATGTGTGGGCAGGATGACATGCCGCCCCTGTAATCTGGCCACACCCCCGGGGTCACTCATCAGCTCCGCCTCCTCGCTGGTGATTGGCCGCCGGGACTGTAGCTCAGGAGATGCACACAGGCGGCCAATCACTGGCGAGGAGGTGGAGCTTGGAGAGGAAGAGCTGAGCGGCAGCGCAAAGATCAAAGAAGATCAAGTGAGGGAGCTTCTGGAGCGAGTAAAGAGGAGGAGAGCAGCCAGAGAAGGAAGACAGCTGACCGGTAAGTGTCTGTACTGTGCAGATGGTGCTGCTGATGGGAGAGGGATGGAGTGAGCCCAGGCTGCAGCAGGGGTCAGCAAGGTAAGTATCATTGGTGTCAGTGGGAGGAATAGTGCCCCATCATTGGTGTCACTAATACAATGATGGGGCACTATTCCTCCCACTGATACCAATGATGGGGCACTATTTCCCCCCACTGACATCAATGATGGGGTACTATTCCCCCCCCCCCCCCCCCCCCCCACACTGACACCACACTGATACCAACGATGTGGCACTATTCCTCCCACTAATACCAACGATGGGACACTATTCCTCCCACTGACATCAGTGATGTGGCACTACTCCTCCCACTGATACCAATGATGTGGCACTACTCCTCCCACTGATACCAATGATGTGGCACTACTCCTCCCTCTGAAATGACAGCTATGAAGTAGCAACAAAAATAATTTTATGGTTGGGGGTCACCACAACATGAGGAACTGTATTAAAGGGTCGCGGCATTAGGAAGGTTGAGAATCACTGATATAGTAGATCATTGTGTGATCAAGCACCAATAGCATCTACAGTGAAGGAAATAAGTATTTGATCCCCTGCTGATTTTGAATGTTTGCCCACTCACAAAGAAATGATCAGTCTAAAAATCGAATGGTAGATGTATTGTAACACCGAGAGAATAGCAACCAAAAATTCAGAAGAAATGCATGTCTAACAAATTATGCACTGATTTGCATGTTCATGAGGGAAATAAGTATTTGATCCCCTTCACAAAACATGACTTAGTACTTGGTGGCAAATCCCTTGTTGGCAATCACAGAGGTCAGATGTTTCCTGTAGTTAAGAGCTGGTTCACACCATGCCAACATCTGAATTGAACAGGAAAGAGCTGTGCGTTCCTTTTCAATTCACATGCAGTTCTGTGCTGTGCAATTTGAGCCTATTCATTTTGAAAGTGGCTGAAACACTGCATCAAAAGTAGCGCATGTACTAGTTTTTAAAACGCACTGCATCCTGATTCCATGGTACAAAAGTACCATGCGATCAGGTACTGGCAAACACACCGCATTTGTGATCTGTGTTTGGGGTATCGCGCATTCCTGTGCGATTCAGATGCAGGCATGTGAAACTGAACCTAAGAGAGTATGTTGAATTACTGATGCAAAATTTTTCCTTTTTTTTTTTTTTTTTTTTTTTTTTTTTTTTTTTTTCCCTGAAAACTTATTTGATGCCATACAATATTCTTTCCGTGGTCATAATAGTATATTGTACATGCTTTTATAGACTCTGACAGGTTAGCCATCTTGCATTCATTGTACACTACAGAGCTAACAGTGTGTTTTAACCTTTTCCACAAAAGGTGTTTCTTCTGTGCTTCAGATTAATTCTGTCAAAATAATGCTGACTATTATCAGATAAAAAAAAGTGATATAGTTGATATTTACTTCATTTGAAGCCTCACATTGGCTCTTTTAGGTTGGATGGGAGAAAGTTGAAGATCCATTTGTGCTGGCTTCTGTAAGACTACTTGGAGCATGGCTGGCAGAGGAAACCTACTGTCTTAAGGAAGAGGTCATTCAGCTACTTCCTTTCTTGATACATTATATGAGGACTTTGTTTCAACGGGGAGCTACCTGTAGAGCTCAACCTAAGGAAGTGTCTCAGGTGGCATTACTGTGCAGCAACTGGGGAGCAGTATGGCCAGGAGATGCCATAAGGTATGAGGTGTGTGTGTGCGTGTGTATACTCATGCAAGAAAGCAGTCTCCATTACTTTTTGATATTGGAAATTTGTATCCAATATGTGTGCCTAAAATAATGGCAAATAAATAATTACAAATTCTGTAACCGAGAGTTGCTAAATTGACATGTATGTTTAGACTAGGGGTGCACCAAAATGAAAATTCTGGTGCCAAAACCGAAAATTCAGGATGCAGTTGGCCGAAAACTGACACCGGCAGCGGGCCGGTGTAGTGATCTGTCATCGACTGTGTCGAGGTTTCTGCTTGGCCGTTATTGTACAATAGGCCAGTTGGGAAGAAGTTAAAGGGTGTCCGGTGCGCAGAATGCGCACAGGATGGGTCTCAGGTGACACCCATCCCATGCACAGACTGGGCCACCTGACACCTTTCTTATACACAGACTTCACCACCTGACACCTTTCCTATACACAGACTGCGCCACCTGATCCCTTTCCCATACACAGACTGCACTACTTGACACTTTTCCCACACACAGCCTGCGCCCTCTGACACCCATCCTATGTGCACCCGACACCCATCCCATGCGCAGCCTGCGCACCTGACGTACAGCATTTGTACGCAGGCTGTGCATGGGATGGGTGTCAGGACCCATTATGTATAGCCTGCGGCCCCTGAAACCAGTTCCATGCATAGCCTGCTCCCCTCACATATAGTAAACTTAAAAGTAGCATAGCTCAGTCCATCAAGTGGCATGGCCACTAACACTGGGCATGCGCTAAGGCATCACTGCGCAGCTCCCTCGTGTAGGAGGAGGGGTCAGCGCATCCCACATCTCTCCCCAGTCAGAACGTTGCAGGGCAGAACCAAAATACAGTGGCACCTACTTTCTCAATCTCCTCTCCTCTACTGCACTGGCCAAAGGATATTTTCGACGCCTGTATCAGTTTATTTTTTTATATCAGCAAATTGCTGATAGGACTCATTTCGGCCGAAGCAATTCAGCAACCACAATTTCACTGCATCCCTGCTTTAGACCCTTTTTTTTTTTTTTTTTTTTCTTTTGTTTAATGCTACTTTCAGGTCACTTGTTTAGCTAGCATTGCAGCCTATTCAAGCATTGCTTTTGGGCAGTAGTATGAGCAAATTATCTTGAACGTTGGATTAGTGAAGTATATACTGTACGCAAATCTCTTTAACCGACCAGTGATTTTAATTTTTTTTTCTTCTATAAAAAGATAGCAAGAGAACACTCTCTTCACAAACCATTTTAGATTTTTTTTTTTTTTTTTAATTGCAGTTGCCTTTTTTAATTTAAGTCTGCAAAATGATTTTCCTAAAACTGACACATGAAGTTATTGCCTTCTTGGAACAAAGTTGTGTATACGTTTGTGTACAGATGGCAGCCTGATCTGGTTTTGAGCATTTGATTGGCTTTCTGTTTTACACTTCGTTCTGTGTGTAACTTGAAGAGAAATGTCAGGTTTTCCCTCTTTAAAATCAGTTTATTTTCTGACTAGAGAATATTTTTTGTAGACTTTTTAGCATGTCTTGTTGCAAGACAGACTGCTCAAGTGGTGACAATGAAGGCAGGTCTTCCTATTTAGCTATTTGAGAGAGGTCAAAGTAAGTTTTATAATAAGGTCTTATTAGCTGAAGTGAATGAATGTTTGGCTGTTATGTAATTGGCAAAATTGTTTTCTGATCTTCTTATATGTCCTTCTAATTGCCATTTGGCTTACTTGCTAGGTTCCTGCTTCCTGCTATGTGCCATCTAAGTGCAGAAGAATTACCACGAAGGATACTGATCTCTGAGGGGGTCCCTGCATTGTTATGTGACTACTACAAATATCAATGGGAGGTGTTCTCATTGAAAGATGATCTGTCAGCAGAAGCAAGAATTGAGGCTGAACTGAGCATGCAAAGCTGCTGTGGTGTCTTCCTTAACTTGGCGGTGACTGAGCCAGCACTTGTTGGGTATGTTTTGCTGTATTTTTTTAATTATTTTTTGGGTGAGTGTGGTGTTTGGTTTTGTCTTTTTTTTTTTTTTTTTTTTTTTTTTTTTTTTTTTGTATGAGCGTCTCAAATCTGTGACCTTTTTTTTTTAGGTTTCAAATTTTTCAGGTGATTTAGTTTTTGCATGCCCTTCTATAATGTTTTTGTTAGAGTTGGTTTTACTGATATACACTCTTTCTCTTTACCGATTTGTAATCTTGGTTCTGGCCTTTAAGACTGCCTGAAAGATGTCTTTGGGTTAAATGCTTAGTGAAAGCAGATGGAATCTTGGGCTTACGTGTCTCAGAAATGCTTGATATTTAACTTTATACCAGTCAGCAGGATTGCATTATTTATGAACTATTCATCATTATTATTCCCTTTATCCTCACATAGTTGACACATCCTTCAATATTCCAGTTTGACCCCATTGTGTGCAGCTCTAATTTATAGTCTAAAACACCCTGAATGAAACTGTATTCTACTTCCAGTGTACCTGGATGTTTTCAGTACATAGTTGCACTTAATGCACGATGTTGCAAGGATGCATGCTCTGCTGGGGATAAACAAGTCCTTGCTAATGTGAGAAATTGACCTAAAATGTTGTATATTACTAAAATATGTTTTAGAGAATTACTCAAGAGCAGGTATTGATTAAGTTAAAGTAATAATAAACACTGTTTAATTTACATTATCCCTTCTCTATATGTATATTGATAATGGCCCTGTATTTATTTTGATTTAAAGCGGAACTACAACGTGTGCACAATTATTAAGCAAATTAGTATTTTGACTAAACCATCATTTTTATGCATATTGTCCAACTCCAAGCTGTATAAACTTGAATGCTTTTTGGATTTTTAGCATAGCAGGTGATGTGTATTTGTTTAATGAGGGAGGGTGTGGCCTAAGGAGATAAACACCTTATATCAAGGTGTACATAATTATTAGGCAGCTTCTTTTCCTCAGGTAAAATGGGCCAAAAAAGAGATTTAACTGACTCTGAAAAGCCAAAAATTGTAAAAAGTCTTCCAAAGTGCTAAGATATTGACGCGTGATCACAGAGCCATCAAATGTTTTGCTGCAAATAGTCAACAGGGTCACAAGAAACATGGAAAAAAAGACACAAGTTAACTGCCAAGATTTGAAAAGAATCAAACATGAAGCTACCAGGAACCAATTATCCTCCAGTGCTGTCATATTCCAGAACTGCAAACTACCTGGGGTGCCCAGAAGGTGTACAAGGTGTTCAGTGCTCAGAGACATGGCCAAGGTAAGGAATGCTGAAACCCGACCACCATTGAACTAGACACAGAAGATGAAATGTCTAGACTGGGCCAAGAAATATCTGAAGACAGATTTTTCAAAGGTTTTGTGGACTGATGAGATAAGAGTGACTCTTGATGGACCAGATGGGTGGGCCTGTGGCTAGATAAGTAATGGGCACAGAACTCTACTTCGACTCAGATGCCAGCAAGGTGGAGGTGGGGTACTGTTATGGGCTGGTATTATTAAATATGAGCTGGATGGACCTTTTCGGGTTGAAGATGGACTCAAAATCAACTCCCAAGCTTACTGCCAATTTTTTGGAAGACACTTTCTTCAAGTAGTGGTACAGGGAAAAAGTCTGCATCTTTCAAGAACACCATGATATTTATGCAGGACAAAGCTCCATCGCATGCATCAAAGTACTTCGCTGTGTGGCTAACCAGTAAAGGCCTTAAAGATGAAAGAATAATGACATGGCCCCCTTCCTCACCCTGACCTAAACTCTGTTGAGAACTTTATGGTGAAGGAAAACAGTACACCTCTCTGAACAGTGTCTGGGAGGCTGTGGTGGCTGCTGCACAAAAAGTTGATAGTCAATAGATCAAGAAACTGACAGACTCCATTAATGGAAGGCTTATGACTGTTATTGAAAAGAAGGGTGACTATATTGTTCACAGATTTATTTTATCTTTTTTTTAAATGTCAGAAATTTTTATTTGTAAATTGTGAGTTGTTTATTTTCATCTCTTAAAGTGAGAATAACAAACAAGTGAGATAGGGAAATTTTCATTTAGTTGCTTAATAATTCTGTACTCTAATAGTTGCCCAATAATTGTGCACACATAGATATTCTCCTAAGAAAGCCATAACCTCACTGTAGTTCAATAATGAAGTTATTCCTCAAAAATACAACTTGCCTAATAATTGTGCACACAGTGTATATTTGCATTGAATGCAGTCATGCTCTGTCCCCTGAACTCCCTGTCTGGGTATTGATCACCAGCTGCTGTCATTGGCTGGGCAGAGATGGCAACATGTGCGCGGGAGTTCCATGGCCCTGAAAGCACCACTCCGCTTAAAAAAAATCGATTAAAAAATCGACTGAGCCAGGAGAAAAATTACTGGACGAACAGTGAGTGCATCTGATCGGATGCAGTCACTATTTGACCATTCAGGCAGCTGGCAGTGGACATTCCTCCATCCACACTATTCGAGTGTATGATAGTGGCCCTAGGATCGACATGTATTTGTTAAATGGACTGTTTGCATAAATGACAGACAAACCAGAAAAGCCCAACTCTAACACTGTTTAAGCATTTACTACAGCAGCTGGCTTTATTTTTCTTTTGGGAGAAAAGGTATTGGCCATTAACAAAAAAAAAAGCTAACAATTGTAAGCATCTCTACCAGTGTAATGTTTTTATTCCAAACCTGAAACTGCAACATTTACTCAACAACTTGTTAGAGGAAAAATAAAGCATCTACTGACGGGATCAACATTTATTAAAACCTTGTTAAGGCAAAACTTCTGTATTAACACTGCTGACAGACTGTATCATTTGTGTTTTGCCCTGCCATGAAGGTCCTTGTTCATCTACTGTGAGAAATACCATACTGTGCTGCATAATTTTTCATTTGTGTGTGTTAGTGTTTTTGTTTAGGGGTTTTTTGTTTTTTGAGAATAGTTATTTTTTTCTGTTACCTTTTCCTTCTCTTGTACTAGCCAGGAAAGCTGCTTTGTGTCTTTGTTGAAGCTTTTGGTGCAGTCTCTTCCTGTCCTGCTACTAAATGGAGGACACATGACTTTGGCAGCAAATATTTCTACTTTGGGACTGATGATAAGCAGGTTATTGGCTAAAACTCCAGGTATGTTTATTTACTAATGCATGCTTCTTCTCTTGTTCTCTTGTGCAGTTTATCTAAACAGATGTTGGTTGAGATAGGGATTGTCAAGCCCAGTAAGAGTATTGTATATTAGCATAATTGTGGACTTGCAGACAAGTGCATGCCCAGCCCTGAAACCCTAAAATTCGGTGAGGGCAATTTATCAAAACTGGAAAACACAGAATCTAGAACAGCTGTTCTCCTCATCTTCAGCCAAGGAAGCTGCCATTTTAGCCTCTGTTCGATCTGCAGCTGCCATGGTGCCGCACATATGATCAAGTATGACACCAGCCATTTGATGGTTTGACAGTTTGGTTGACCGCACAAATGTGACAGTTAGCTTTCCTGGCTTGCCAGAAATGTAACTGTTTTTTTTAAAGGAGAAGTACAGCCAAAGCTCATTGGCTGTACTTCTACTGTGAATCAAAGGAGTGCAGTTTATTCTGCACTCCTTTGACGTAGGTAAGCATAACTTCTAGAAAAAAAGCTTAAACTTCTCTTTTTAAGTATGGTTTTAGCTCCACTTTAAATTAACTGAAGCTAGAAGATGGATAAATGTGCATAACAGCTTTCCCACAGAAATGTAGTAATATTTGGTATGAACCATTCAGAAGCCAGCACACCTGCATACTGAATTACATTGGAAAACTGTTCAATAGAGATGGATGTGCAGGTTTAACACATTTAGACACTGATGCTATTATACAGGATCTATGAAGCACCAACAGATTGCACAGTGCTTTACAAACTGAAGTGGGACTGTACATTTACAATACTATTCAGTGCAAGTGGGAAAAGTGGACCCTGCTCGTGAGAGCTTACAATATAAAAGGGTCAAGTGATACAAAAGGAAATAATTGTGATGAGCTGATGAATAAAGTAAAAGTACAGTTTACTAGGTGGAGGTTGGATAGGCCTGCCTGAAGAGATGAGTTTTCAGGAATCTCCTAAAGGTGGAGAGAGTAAGGGGATAGCTGGCCAGATTGGGGTAAGGTGTTTCAGAGGATGAGAGAGGCTCAGGAAAAATCCTGAAGGCAAGCTTGGGAAGAGGTGACAAGGTAGCTCAGGCGTAGGAGGGCTTGGGAAGAGTGACAAGGACGTTTTAGTTGATATTTTGTAACAAGGCTGATGTTTTATCTTAAGTCAGAGTTATGGATGGCTTTGTGTTTTTTGATTTTTTTTTTTTTTCCAATTTGTTAGGCAAGACGTAGCCAGTGGGGTTTGGCAGGGGGAAGGTTAGTGGGCACTGAGTAGTTAATGAAACGGATGATTACAAAGCAATATTGTGGCATCTGTAAAATCAAGCTTATGGGTATATCATAAATCAACCAAATATAAGTGATGACGGCCTTTTACAGGCAGTGATAGCAGCTGCCCCTAATTGGTGAATAAACACTAAAATGTACCGAATAGTGAATAGATAGGCGCTTACTCAATACAACATATGTCAAATAATAACAAAGTGCTCTCCCAACACCATATGAGTGATATGTTGGTATAGAATAACTTAAAGTCCAAAAAATTTAACCTAGGGAGTGAATAACAGTCCTATGAAGCCGGCTTGTGGTGTCAGTGTGACAAGCCACATACACAGCATGCTCACATTTTCCCTGCACATTCATGCTGTATACGCATCAGGCTGAATGTTGGAAGATTCTGGCTTACAAGGAGAAGCTATCTGGAGCAATATCCATCTTAAGGGCATTGGAGATTTATCTTGGGAAGAGCCTAGAACTGGGAACCCATTCATTATTCGTTTGTCCAGGGTCATATGACCATCTATTTGGGGGGTCTATGTCCTCTGTTCCTTGGAGAGCCATCTACATGAAGGAGACCAGGAGGTCCATCCTATAAAAGCCTGCAGTTGCTTGACCTTAGAGCGTTATTTGACCACTGTGACAGGGGTCAATAAGTTCTGAGGAATTCACCTGTCGCACACGTGGTGGAAAAGGAATTTTTTTGTACTCCGGGATACCCTCATATGGGACTGTTATTCACTCCCTATGTTCAATTTTTTGGACTTTAAGTTATTCTGTACCAACATATCACTCATATAGTGTTGGGTGTTATTATTTGACATATGTTGTATTGAGTAAGCACCTATCTATTCACTATTTGGTACAATGAAATGAATGAGTCTGGCAGTGGCATTCATGATGGACTGAAGGGGGGAATAGTCTATATAAAGGTAGCCATCGAGGAGGAAGTTGAAGTTGAAGTAGTCATGGCGAGAGATAATCAGGTAGTGAATTAGTAGCTTTTTGGTGTCGTTGGTTAAGAAGGGATGTATTTTGGAGACGTTACAGCGGTTAAGGTGGCAAGATTTGGACAGTGCTTGAACATGGGGCCAATGGCAGCGGTCCACGATTAAGCCTAGCACCCTGGAATAATGGGAGGAACTAATAATTGTACCAATAATCTCGATGGAGCTGCCAAGGAAGAGAGAACAAGGGGATTGAGTCTGAGAAAGTGGTGTGACATCCATACTGATATGTCGGTTAGTAAATGTGATGTGCAAGGACACCGATGAAGTGAGCAGAGGTGTAGAGAGATAGTAGATTTGGGTGTCAACATAGAAATGGTATCAGCTGATCCAGGGGGGAGGTGTAGATAGGGAATAGGTCCTGGGGACAGAATCTTGATGGACACCTATGGAAAGAGGAAGAAGAGAAGATGAGGTAGAGTTGTAAGCGACACTAAGGGTGCAGTGAGATAGGTAAGAGGAGAGCAAAGTTGCAAAGGACAATGAAGTGGAATTTCAGGATGAGTGGGTGGTCAACTGTATCAAAGGCAGAAGAGAAGTCTAAAGCAGGGTATACACAGTTTATTTATTTTCATTTAACCTGTGGGTTTAATGGGGAAAAAAACGCACATGCACAGAAATGATGTGCGTATTGACCGAGTCAACCAGCTTCTTTTGAGCAGACCAGGGCTGCACATGTACCGAAATTCGGCCAGTTCCTGCCCGAACCAGCTGAATTTCGCTACTTGTATACCCAGCTTAAGAGTACAAAGAAGTTATCTTTTGATTTTAGCAGATAGTAAGTTGTTGGTGAATTTTGGGAGGGTATGTTTTGCAATCTATTGGGCAATGAGTGCGTTAGTAGAGGTAGTGGAGGATGAAGTAGAGCGTGAATGGATATTAAAAAAAAATTATATAAAAAGTTATGAGTAGTTCATTTGGGAAGAATACAATACAACTATTTAATTACATTTGGAAAGATGGTTAGCATGTCCCTAATTTTTAATACAGCTGGTTGAACGGAAAAAGAAAAAAATGCCCAATGTATGGGCTAACCTCTCGAAGAAGTTAGGCCGGTCCCTGCTGAATTGGCTGAATTTCGATCCATCTATGGCTAGCTTTATTCTAAGCATGTAGCAGATAGTCCCCTTTAGGCTTTTAGCAAAGAGCAGTAGGCTGCATTTAGCTTAATGGTAATGGCAAATACAATTAAAGTTTTGTACAGGTATGGGAGCTTTATAAGTAATAGGTGGTAATAGTAGCTAAGCAAGCCATAGATTATGTAATTTTCTTTCCTTCGGGCACGGGAGAAAAATTACTTGATTCCCCTTCTTGGAGAGTTTGCATATACACATTCCATGGTAAGTTTGTTTTCAGCCCTGGTTAACACCAGTACGACTTGTCATGCAACTTGACAGTTCAAAGTCGCATGACAAGTCGCTCCCCATTTGTAACAATGGAACAGTTCAAATTGCTGCGACTCTGAAAAAGGTTCCTGTACTGTTTCTGTTCGACTTCATTGGAACTTGCATTGACATCTGTTAAATGAAGCCGCACGTGAAATCGCATTAATAGTTGGCATTGAATTTGTGCTGAAATAGTGTGATTTCAAAGACACACAGGTGTGAATCAGTGCTTAAACTGTTTTTAGCCATTTTAGAGGAAAATGTTCAGATAGTGGTCTGTCAAGTGAAGCTCCATAGACATTTGGTGAGTCAGCAAGGCAATGACACAAAACCCAGTATTAAATCAGAAGGTGATTTGGATCTGGAATGGACAAGTCTCACTCCAGATCTCAACCTGTTTGAGATGCTTTGGTATGACCCAAAGAGAACTTGAAATATACTGACAGACTGAAGCAGTTTAATGAGAGAAGCTGTTGTAAAATTTGCAAGTCTGAGCAGCAGCTACAGTTAGCATACAATATAGTGGATTGTGGATCCATCCATGTTTTGTTTCATAGTTATATGCAAGGTTCCCTTATTCAGGTTTTAATTTTTTTTGTTTTTTTGAGGGATTTTTGTAACTGTCTTTTGCAAGTTAAAAAGTGAGGTTTTTTTTCGTTTCCAATTTTTTTTATTGAAGTTTCGACAGTGTAAGAAAGGAACAAAATTACAAAACTTCATCAACTGTTCGCATTTTCAAAGAAGTGCTTTGTAACCGAGAGAAACACAATAGTAGTAATGAGTTCCGCATAGTGTAACACAGTTGAGAGTCAAGTTAGGCATTTTTTTTTAAAAGCTGTTTTTTTTAAGACAAATAAATGTAGTATAATAAAAGAAAATAAGCTTAAAATATTTTTTTTTTCTCTCAGCTTTGCAGGAGGACGCTTCTAGAAATTTCTTCAAGGCTGCCATTCAGTTCTTAAGCTGCTCTCACGTTGCATCCAATGACCCAGACACAGGAAAATATCACATTATGCTTTGTGAGGAGTATTCTGATGCTTGGGCAGATATATCTGAGTTGTGGTTCCTTGGAGTACAAGCATTCTCTGCCTGCCTTCCTTTGTTGCACTGGTTGTCTCCATTAGTACTAGAGTCTGGCTGGTTGGACAGTGTGCTATCTCTTTTGAGCCAGGTTTCACCAGAGTCTGTCGACTTAGAAGTAGTGACTGTGCTGCAGGCTCTTTTCACAGAGCTGGCTCAGAGCAACGTGTCTTGCAGGGAACTCATTCTGCAGCAAGGAGGGGTGGAGCTGGCCAATTTATATGGCATGGCTGCTCTGGAACAATGCTTGTCTGAGATACAGTGAAAAAATCCTTGTGCAACAGTATCTTTTTCTTGTAATTCATATTCTATAAATATTGGAATTCTTGCCTTTCATAGCAATGTATAGCACTTGTAAAAATTATAGTGAAAAATGAATTCAGTTCAAAATCAAAGTGTTTATCTAGCCATAAACGTTCTAATAAATAAGATATTATAGATTGGAGGAAGGATTATTACTGTTATCTGGGGCTCTGTTAGAGAGGTTTACCCTCACTTCTGTCCTGCTCAAAGCAGTTTCCTGACACCTTAAGTAAGGGTACATTTGCAAAAGAGGCACAGAGAGAAATAAAAAGCTAACAGGGGTCCTAGCCTTCCTCTTCTCCATTGCAGAAAGCATTTTCTTAAATTTCATGTTTAATGTAATGTCCTATGTTTATTGGCCTAGCTGGCCCCAATCAAACTATTGCATTATCTGTATGTAGCTGAAGCTTTGAAAGAATGAATGCAAAGCTTTCTCTGATTAGCTGAGGCAGAGATTGTGCTGTCATTTGCCCACCTCTCCACCTCAGCCAAACAGAGGAAGCTTTGTATTCATTCAGAGAATACAAGGCGTCTTGTGAATGGTTGAGCGTCGCTCAGCCCAACTCTATTTTGTTCCAGGAGTGGGATGGGAAGGCTACATACAGTTAACAAAGCACACTCAGCAAGCGCACGTTGGAGCAGTAAATAGTTAAGTTGGGCTAGCTTTGGGCCTCATGTAGGTGGCAGTATAACCCAAAGATTAGCTTTCCTGTGTCCCTCAATGGACTCTTAAGAAAGAGTCTTCCTAAGGAGAGATGAATGCCGCTCCAACCAGTCCCACATGGATTGAATAGAGAGTGTTTGTGTTGGCCTCAGCCCTCACTCCAGTCATGCCCTCTGACGCATTTTGCCGCGCCCGTCGGGTCTTGGTCAGAGCTCAGGTTCTGTGACCAAGACCCAATGGGTGGGGCGAAACGTGTCAATGGCATGGCTGGAGCAAGGGCTGAGGCCAACACAGACACACTCTATTCAATCCATGTGGGCTGGTTTGAGCGGAGTCCATCTCTCCTTGTAAACCTACACCCCTGGATAAGTGTTAAGTATCCCTTCGCTTCTTCTTTGCTAAAATGCTGCCAGCTGGACAGGAAGTGAATGTAAATATCTTTTAACAGAGCTTTGGATAGCCATAAAAACCTGACCATGATTCTAATCCATACCCTCTCAATCAAGAACTAAGAAAAATGGTTTTGGCTAGACATTCATTTTAAGAATAATTTTATAGCGTGTTCATTTAGACTTCCTTGCACTGCGGTATAGGAATCCGAATTGCATGCATAGTTCAACATGTAAGGCAGCAGGGTCAGTGATATAGGTGAACAGGCTGTGCAGTATCAATGCACAGTGATACGGCAGGCCATATTCCTACTATACACAGTGCAAAGTGATTTGCCCATGTCTGTGTTGAGATTTTGGCTCAAAACATTTGATATTTACTAAGCTGTAGGAAGCTGACATATGAACATTTAATTGTGCAGTATTTTTTGTTTTAATTAAAACTGTGTAAAGGCCCTTGCATAAGGAGGGACTAAACAGTGGAGATGCATAATACCCTTTGAACAGCCATTACTCTCTGGACTAATGTTGGCCATATTGGTACATCCCCTTATTTTTAATTGTGTGTTTTTTGGGGTTTTTTTTTTACAGGATAAGATTTTATGTTTGTCTTGTCGACTTATCAAATTACCAATATTACCAAGTAAAGAACATACAATGTATTATTTATACAATTAAATCATATTACATTAAACAAATCTGAATGCTCTTCCTTATTGCATTGATTTTTGTGTTTCTGGCTGATCAAACTGGCAGCATTTGATGTATCCCAAAAAAACGATGACATGTCCTGCTGAACATTTGACTTCTTTCAAACGTCCACCTGCAATGAACGCTTGAAATGGCATGTTTGGCATTTGCTCAGTTTCCTTTAACCAATTAACATTTTCTCAACCATCTTAGATGGTGCACAGTGGGAGGGGCATATACTAAACCCCCATACACATGCAACCTATCTAACTGGTTTCTAGTTTAAAATCAGAGGACTTAATTGAAAGTATTTGCAGATTTTTGTATAAGATATATGGCATTGTCAAGGATTCTCTATAAAGTGCTGTAACCTTCCAATCAATTATTACAACAGTGGGATGTGTATAACCATCATAATTGTACTGAAAGCAAACTGATCTTGGGTATTCCAACACACCCTGCGGTGCATGCCCCATTAAAAAAAAGGCCAGCAAAACACACCTGAAGACTTTTTATGTGCATGCATTCAGTGCAACAAACACAAAAAGGATTAACTGCTGATTCATTTTAAAACCTATATGGTCAGTACAGATCTTCTTTTTGGAATGGCAGTGCGTGTGCTGGGGAATTCTGTTGTTGTGCACTTGGTGAATACCTCTCTCTCTGTGTGCTATCCATGTAAATTTTCATTCATTGAGTAGCTGACATTTTTTTTGTGCATTAAAACATCTTGTTTAGGTGGTTCTTGTTAATTTTTTGTTGTGTGTATGCCTAACTTACTTTGAGAAGGTAATAGAAATGGAATGTATTCAGTCATGCACCTGGCATGTGCCACGATGAATGGAAAGATGTTTTCATATCTTTGCTATGGACATTGTTACAATAGACAGTGAGCCCTGGAGTGGCTTGTTATCAATAGGGAATCGTTTGTAAGTTATCTATTATAATTTTGGTAAGTATCAGATATGTATTCTAAATTCTGAAGCCAGAATGTACATATACTGCGGCAGGGCGGCACTGCTGCGCGAAATCACGTGTATATATGCACGTGATTTCGCATATCTGGTAGGGGGGCGCGCGTGAGGCGCGTGACCACCCTACCCGTGCTGCCGATCACGGCCGTGGGTGTCAATCACCGGGTCCCAGCTGGAGCCCGGTGATTACCAGCAATCACTGACAGAGTACGGCTGCAGCCCTCCTCCCTGTCAGTTTCCAGCATACTGTTCCGGAGAGCAGAGTGCAGCTTTCTGGATCAGTGTGTTACTGTAAAGAACACCCCAACCCCTAGTGAAACACTCCCCTCACACAGTTAACCCTTTTACTGCTTTCAAAAGTTAACCTCTTCCTCTCCCAGTGCCATTAGTACAGTGTAAGTGTTGTTTTTTTTTTTTTTGCACTGAGGATGTCAGTGACCCCAAGTCTGTTCCCCCCAGTGTCAGAATGTCCGCCGCAGTCCCGCCATAAGTCGCTGATCGCCGCCATTAATAGTATATAAAAAAAATGTCAGTATATATACTGCCATTTGTAAATGCTATAACTTTCACATAAACCAATTCATTTACACGTATTGGAATTTTTTTTTAGCAAAGACATGTTGCAGAATACATTTTGGCTGAAATTTATGGCGAAATTTTGTTTTTACATTTTTTTACTGGACATGTTTTATAGCAAAAAGTCCAAAATATTGTTTTTTTTTTTTTAAAATTATGTTTTTTTTTTGTTTTGTTTTTCTTTTATATTGCAAAAAATTTAAACCGCACATGCGATCAAATACCACCGAAAGAAAGCTTGATTCGTGGGGAAAAAATTACGTAAATTTCATTTGGGTGCAGCTTTGCATAACCGCAGAATTGTCAGTTAAAGTAACGCAGCAACGTAACCCTGCCAAAAACGTCTCACGTGTGGTACCCCCATACTCAGGAGAAGTAGCAGAATGTATTTTGTGGAGTAATTCCACATATACCCATGGTATGTGTGAGCAATAAATCATTTAAGTGACAATTTTGTGTAAAAAAAAAAAAAAATAATAAAAATTTTTTTTTGTCATTTTCCCACAAATTTGTGGAAAAAAAATAAGTCTTCCATGGACTCAATATGCTTCTCAGCAGATAGCTTAGGGTGTCTACTTTCCAAAAAGGGGTCATTTGGGGTGTTTGTACTATCCTTATATTTTAGCACCACAAGAAATGTGATAAGCAGTCAGAAAGTACACCCTGTTCCAAATTATTATGCAAATGATATTTTTTTCATTTACCTAAATAATTGATGTAAATAACAGTCAGCATAATTCTCATGTTATCAACTATTATTAAGAGTACAATTCAAATTTTACTGAACAAACCTCCTAATGATAACAGTATTTTTTTTAAACAAACTTACAATGCACTGTTCCAAATTATTACACACAGTAAGTTTGAAAACACTTTATAGGTTGTAAAGAACTGAAAATTGTCATTTGTTGTTTTTGCAGCATATTTACTGAAATCAAAAGCTATTTCAATCAAAATTTTAACAACATTTTAACTTTTTAAACATTTTAACAGGTCACGTTACATTTTAACATAGGACCCCTTATTTGATAGCAGCTTCACAAGTCTTGCATCCATTGAACTTGTGAGTTTTTGGACAGTTTTTGCTTGAATTTGTTTGCAAGATGTCAGAATAACCTCCCAGAGCTGCTGTTTGGATGTAAACTGCCTCCCACCCTCATAGATCTTTTGCTTGAGGATGCTCCAAAGGTTCACAATAGGATTGAGGTAAGGGGAGGATGGAGGCCACACCATGACTTTCTCTCCTTTTATCCCCATAGCAGCCATTGATGCAGAGGTATTATTTGCAGCATGAGATGGTGCATTGTCATGCATGAAGATGATTTTATTACGGAAAGCATAGTTCTTCCTTCTGTACCAGGGAAGAAAGTGGTCAGTCATAAACTCCACATACTTTGCATAGGTCATCTTTACACCTTTGGGGACCCTAAAGGGGCCAACCAGCTCTGTTCCCATGATTCCGGCCCAAAACATGACTCCACCACCGCCTTGCTGACGTCGCAGCCTTGTTGGAACAGGGTGGCCGTCCACCAAACATCCACTACTCCATCCATCTGGACCATCCAGGGTTGCACGGCACTCATCAGTGAACAGGACTGTTTGAATATTAGTCTTCATGTATTTTTCTGCCCAATGCAGTTGTTTCTGCTTGTGAGCATTGGTTAGTGGT